TGGGGACTTAAGCCCCTGTCCCTAACCACCTTGATTCCCACAACCCCCCCTCCGTGATCCTTCACTCTTTTTGAGTGCTTTCTACCTACTTCAAGTTAATGCTGGTCCCCAGATGCAGGGCACTCTCGTATTGGGATATTACCTTCCAATGGGTTGCCTCTAGTGGCTCCCTCCCCCTTTTGTTTATCTTCTGATATCAATCTGATGTTCCCACTCCGCTTTACCTGCCCACTGGCGTCTTCTGCTCCTGTAGAGATCCAGATGTGTGTAATTCTGATCTCAGGCTGATTTCGTGGGTGATCGGAGTTCTTTGGAAGGTAATCAGCTCACTTTAGGGTACAGGTTGAAAGGGCACCTCCTCCTACTTCCCCGCTGTCTTGTCCCCCTCGACCCATTCATTTTTTAGAAAGATGTTGTTTAGTCTCCATGTATTTGGGTTTTTTTCCAAATTTCCTCTTGTGATTGAGTTCTATCTTCAGAGCATTGTGGTCTGAAACTTTTCAGGGAAAGATCTCAATCTTTTGATACTGGTTAAGACCAGATTTATGACCCAGGATGTGGTATATTCTGGAGAATATTCCCTGTGCACTAGAGAATGTGTATTCTGTTATTTTGGGATGGAATGTTCTGAATATATCTATGTTACCTAAAGCAATCTACACATTTAATGCAATCCTTATCAAAATCCCATCCTTTTTTTTTTTTTCAAAGAAATAGAACAAATAATCCTAAAATTTATATGGAATCAGAAAAGACCTGGAATAGCCATAGGAATATTGAAAAAGAAAGCCAGAGTTGGTGGCATCACAATTCCAGACTTCAAGCTCTATTACAAAGCTGTCATCATCAAGACAGTATGGTACTGACACAAAAACAGACACATAGATCAATGGAACAGAATAAAGAGCCCAGAAATAGACCCTCAACTCTATGGTCAACTAATCTTTGACAAAGCAGGAAAGAATGTCCAATGGAAAAAAGACAGCCTCTTCAATAGTCGGTGCTGGGAAAATTGGACAGCCACATGCAGAAAATGAAATTGGACCATTTCCTTACACCACACACGAAAATAGACTCAAAACGGATGAAGGACCTCAATGTGAGAAAGGAATCCATCAAAACCCTTGAGGAGAACACAGGCAAGCAACCTCTTTGACCTCAGCTGCAGCAACTTCTTCCTAGGAACGTTGCCAAAGGCAACAGAAGCAAGGGCACAAATGAACTATTGGGATTTCATCAAGATCAAAAGCTTTTGCACAGCAAAGGAAACAGTTAAGAAAACCGAAAGACAGCTGACAGAATGGGAGAAGACATTTGCAAATGACATATCAGATAAAGGGCTAGTGCCCAAAATCTATAAAAAGCTTAGCAAACTCAACACCCAAAGAACAAATAATCCAATCAAGAAATGGGCAGAGGACATGAACAGACATTTCTGCAAAGAAGACCTCCAGATGGCCAACAGACACATGAAAAAGTGCTCCACATCACTTGGCATCAGGGGAATACAAATCAAAACCAATGAGATGCCACCTCACACCAGTCAGAATGGCTAAAATTAACAAGTCAAGAAATGACAGATGCTGGTGAGGATGCGGAGAAAGGGGAACCCTCCTACACTGTTGGTGGGAATGCAAGCTGGTGCAACCACTCTGGAAAACAGCATGGACGTTCCTCAAAAAAACTGAAAATAGAGCTACCCTATGACTCAGCGATTGCATTACTATGTATATACCCTAAAGATACAAACATGGTGATCCGAAGGGGCACGTGCACCTGAATCTTTATAGCAGCAATGTCCACAATAGCCAAACTATGGAGAGAACCTAGATGTCCATCAACAGGTGAATGGATAAAGAAGAAGTGATATATATACACAATGGAATACTAATCAGCCATCAAAAGAAATGAAATCTTGCCATTTGCAACGACGTGGATGGAACTAGTGAAATAAGTCAATCAGAGAAAGAAAACTATCATATGAGCTCCCTGATATGAAGCGGAGATGCAAAATGGGAGGTTTGGGGGTAGGAAAAGAGAAAATGAAAGAATATGGGATCAGGAGGGAGACAAAACATAAAAGGCTCAATCTCAAAAAAACAGACTGAGGGTTGCTGGGGGTAGGGGTGTCAGGAGAGGGTGGTGGGGATATGGACATTGGGGAGGGTATGTGCTATGGTGAGTGCTGTGAAATGTGTAAACCTGGCGATTCACAGAGCTATACTCTTGGGGGTAAAAATACATTATATGTTTATATATATATATTTTTTTAATAAAAAAAGATCCACATGCTGGGAAAATTGAACTGCTAAGTACAGAAGAATAAAACTCGATGATTCTCTTAATCCATACACAAAGGTAAACTCGAAATGGATAAAAGGCCTCAATTTGATGCAGGAATGTATCAAAATTCTAGAAGAGAACATAGGCAGTAACCTCTTTGACATCGGCCACAGCAACTTCTTTCAAGACATGACTCCAAATGCAAAAGAAACAAAAGCAAAAATGAACTTTTGGGACTTCATCATCATAAAAAGCTTCTGCACAGCAAAGGGAGCAGTCAACAAGACAAAGAGGCAACCCATGGAATGGGAGAAGATATTTGCAAATGTCAGTACAGACAAAGGGCTGATATCCAAGATCTATAGAGAACTCCTCAAATCCAACACAGACAAAACAGATAATCATGTCCAAAAGTGGGCAGAAGACATGAGCGGACTCTTCTCCAAAGAAGACATACAAATGGCTAACACACAAATGAAAAAGTGTTCATAATCTTAGCCATCTGGGAGATTCAAATCAAAAGCACATGGAGATATGAACTTACACCATTTGGAATGGTCAAAATTAACAAGAGAGTAAACAACAATTTTATGAACTTATTATGAGCATCTACATATTAAGTTAGCACAATCTGGAAGAAATGAGTGCATTTCTGGACACTTATAAATAACCAAAACTGAAACAGGAATCAATAGAAAATCTAAACACTCCGATAACCACCAAGGAAATCGAAGCAGTAATCAAAATCCTCCTAATAAAGAAGAATCCAGGGTGACATGATTTTCCAGGGGATTCCTAGATCTACTTGTATTTTCATTATATTCTCCTGTTTGAAGTTGAGTTTTCTTTTTTTTTCTTTTTAATTTTATTTTTTTATAAACATATAATATATATCCCCCCCAGGGGTACAGGTCTGTGAATCGCCAGGTTTACACACTTCACCTCACTCACCATAGCACATACCCTCCCCAATGTCCATAACCCCACCCCCCCTCTCCCAACCCCCCTCCCCCCCAGCAACCCTCAGTTTGTTTTGTGAGATTAAGAGTCACTTATGGTTTATCTCCCTCCCAATCCCATCTTGTGAAGTTGAGTTTTCGAAGGCAGTTACATAATTAACAAAAACAACAAGAAATAGAAACTCCTACATTGATGCAAATTTGTTCTTCTTCAGCCTCTTCAGGTCAGTTGTTGTGGAAAGCACATAAATAAGATATTCTCTGAGCTCCATATCTACATTGACAGGGCGAGAAGCAACTATATTGTAGTATCAGAAACTGGAAAGAGGGGCACCTGGGTGGCTCAGTGGGTTAAAGCCTCTGACTTCGGCTCAGATCATGATCCCAGGGTCCTGGGATCGAGCCCCGCATCAGGCTCTCTGCTTGGCATGGAGCCTTCTTCCCTTCCTCTGTCTCTGCCTGCCTCTCTGCCTACTTCTGATCTCTGTCTGTCAAATAAATAAATAAAATCTTGAAAAAAAAAGAAACTGGAAAAAAATCCCTACCCCAACCAACCACTTAAAAAATAGAATTATGCTATATTCACTTTTTGAAAAACTGCCAAATATTAAAATAAATGATTCTTCCTGCTACAGAAATCAACATCGTTGAATTTTCAAGGATTTGTGCAGAGCAAAAAAAAAAAAAAAAGTACTATAAATAAAATTACATACAATATAAATTCTTCAAAAATTAAAACTAGACTAAGCCACATGTGGAAAACACATAGTTATGTGAGAACAGGATGAAGAAGGGAAGAGGAAGAAGGAATTCCAGAGAAAATACAAGAATTTTTATGGAGAATTGATTTGTTCACTCTGCATAATGCTGTTTCAGACACCAATATTTATCCTATCACACATTCTGCATGTGGCAGTTAATTCTGTGTCAAGCACACTCATCAAAATTGTTACAAATACTCACAGAGATGACTCAGAAGGAACATACAGATATTAAAACGTGAGAAAATTCACCTGTATGCACTCTGATTCTCTCTATATTTTAGGGAAACTCGAGAGCAGGTAAAATCATCCTGTCCCCATTACAGGAGGGGTTCCACATTCCTCACCAGCCTACGCACTCTGTCCTCCAGGTGTTTCAGGGGACAGTGTGTCCTGTGGGGATGAGCACAGGGCCACCAACTGAGGCTCATTCTCAACACCTGGGTGCTCTAGGACACCTCACAAAACTCTCTAAAATTCTAAGTGTAGTTTTACATTTTATTATGGAATAACACGACACCTATCCCACAACATTTGTGTCAATATTTAAAAAGAAATTACCACGTGGAGGCCAAGTATATACTCTGGAAAGTTATATAATGAAAAATCATATTTTCCTCAAAAGTGTTTAATACCACCAAAACAAAGGCAGCCACATCTCTTCTAGTCGTTGCCCTGTATGGTCACATAGATTCCAAGATGAATATATAATCAGAGAACGTGCGAATAGGGCCCTCCCTCTGCTGATTAAAACAGCCCAGCCCTGACTCTGCAGCTGGGAGAGGAGCCCCAGCCTAGGATTTCCAGGCATTCCAATCAGTAATCAAGACAGAACACACACAACTCAAAATGGAGATTGCACTTGGCTGGGTATTCCTTTTTGCTCTTTTAAAATGTAATTCATTGTGAGTAAGAGATGTTGAGGATGTGAGTGGATATGAGTGAAAGAAATATGGCAGTGTGACAGTTTCCTGACTGAGATGTCTTGTGTCTGCAGGTGTCCACTATGAGGTGCAGCTGGTGGGGTCTGGGGGAGACCTAGTGAAGCCTTGGGGGTCCCTGAGACTCTCCTGTGCAGCCTCTGGATTCACCTTCAGTAGCAATGACATGAGCTGGGTCTGCCAGGCTCCAGGGAAGGGGCTGCAGTGGGTCGCAGGTATTAGCTATGATGGAAGTAGCACATGCTACTCAGACTCTGTAAAGGGCTGATTCACCATCTCCAGAGAAAACAGCAAGAACACACTGTATCTGCAGATGAACAGCCTGAGAGCCGAGGACACGGCCGTGTATTACTGTGCAAAAGACACAGTGAGGGGACCTCAGTGTAAGCCTAGACAGAAACCTCACTGTAGGAAGGGATCAGGACCACCAGGGGGTGCACACTAATCACCAGTTCTGTCTTTAAGTACCAGGAGCAGATGCAGATGAAGGTTATGGGCACGTTTCCTGTCAGGATCTAGCGATTCCTCTCCAGAGAACACTTTTCCTCAGGGACCCTTTGTGCACACATGATTCTGTGTTTACCTCTTCACTCTCTGACTTTGAAAATTTGTTCTATTGGGAAAACAATTATACTAAAAAGCACAAAATACAGTCACTCATGTTGTTTACTCCTTTCCCTAAATATCAATGAATCACAAATAAACTGGGGCTCATCAAGTGAACATTTATAGGAATCCCAGCTGCTCTCACTGTGCATCATAAGTCCACCCTGCTCAACGTGCAAACTCGCTAGAAGCAGCATAAAGTGCATCCTGGACAGGAGACCACCAGAGGCATCAACAATCCAAAGCAAAAGAAGAAAATGTCTTGGTGGAGAGGTCACTGTCTTAAGCCATGCTTACATCATCAATGTTAATGACAACATGGGAAAGTAGTGGAACCCCCTCCAGGTGTAGTGTTTTTGTGGAATATGAACATTACACACACACACACGAGTATAAAACTTGTATCACTTTCCACTAATTTCTCTGCAGCTAAGGTGGTCCTAAGACAGAAATACACAGCATACAGGAAGACTTCAAGAAGCAGAAAAATCTGAAAGAGACCACCTAACGTTACACCTGAAGGAGCTAGAGAACCTTGCATGACTAAAGCCTGAATACAGCAGAAGGAAGGAAATAGTAAAGACTAGAGCAGAAATTTATAATATAAAACTCAAAAACAACAGAACAGAACAAAAAAACCAAAGTCTGCTTCTTTGGAAAAATAAAATAAAATAAAAGTGAGAAACCTCTGCCTAGATTTATCAAAAAAGAAAAGAGAAAGCCCCAAATAAATAATATCAGAAATCAATATGTTTTTCTGGGGAACAAACAGGATTTCAGAGGGGTGGGGGTGGGAAGATGGAGTAAATCAGTGAAGGCCATAAGGAGGACATGTGTTAGGATAAGCAGTGGGTGTTATAAGCAAATAATGTATTGTTGACCACTACATCAAAAACTAATGGCATGGTTTCACTTATTTGTGGAGAAGAAGGAAAAACACGGAGCACATTAGGAGAAGGAAGTTGGGAGAAATTGGAGGAGGAGATGAACCACTAGAAACTGCAGATTCTTAGAAACACACTGAGGGCTTTGGATGGGAGGTGGGTGGGGGGTTGGGTGAGCCTGGTGGTGGGTATTAAGGAGGTCATGGATTGCATGAACAGTGAGTGTGGTGCATAAGCAATGAATCTTGGAACACTGAAAAAATAAAGTTTAAAAAATACTAACAATATACTTTATGCTGGCTAACTGAACGCAATTTTACAAAAGGAGTTTCCACATATAGTCTTGTGAGAAAAAATAATTAATGTAGAATTCTAGGAGGAAAAGTCTCCAATCCAAATTCTGAAATTATACTCAAAATTTTGTGTTTAAACTAGGAGTGGCTGGGAGAGGGTGGTAACTGGCCAATGAGCATTAAGGAGGGCACTTGATGGAATGAGCACTAGCTGTTATATGTAACTGATGAATCACTAAATTCCACTTCTGAAACCAACAATGTACTATGTGTTAACACAAATTGAATTTAAATAGAAATTTCAAAACACAATAAAGGAAATAAATCAATCGGATGCACTATGTCTTTCAAAGTCCTTGCTTCAAAAGTGACATATAGATCAATGGAACAGAGTATAAGAGCCTAGACATGGACCCTCAACTCTATGGTCAAATAATCTTTGACAAATAAGGAAAAAATATACAGTGGAAAAAAGACAGTCTCTTCAATAAATGGTGCTGGGAAAATTTGACAGCTATATGTAGAAGAATGAAACTTGACCATTCTCTTACACCATACACAAAGATAAACTCAAAGTGGATGAAACATCTCAATGTGTGACAGGAAGCCATCAATGTTCTAGAGGAGAACATGGGCAGTAACCTCTTTAACATCAGCCACAGCAACTTCTTTCAAAATATGTCTCCAAAGGCATACGAAACAAAAGCAAAAATGAACTTTTGGGACTTCATCAAGATCAAAAGCTTCTGCACAGCAAAGGAAAATGGGAACAAAACAAAGAAGCAACCCACAGAATGGGAGAAGATATTCACAAATGACAGTACAGACAAAGGGCTGATATCCAGGATCTAGAAAGAACTTCTCAAACTCAAGCACACAAAACAGATAACCATGTCAAAAAATGGGCAGAAGACATGAACAGACACTTCTCCAAAGAAGACATACAAATAGCTAACAGACACATGAAAAAATGTTCATCATCAGTAGCCATCAGGGAGATTCAAATCAAAACCACATTGAGGGTGACATGGTGGAGAAGTAGGAGGTGCTATTTCAACAGGCCCCCTAAAGTGAGCTGATTATCTACCAAAGAACTCCGATCACCCATGAAATCAGCCTGAGATTAGAATTATACACTTCTGGATCTCTACAGGAGCAGAAGACCAGTGGACAGGTAAAACAGAGTGGGAACATCAGACTGATATCAGAAGATAAACAAAAGGGGGAGGGAGCCACCAGAAGTGACCCACTGGAAAGTAATACCCCAATACGAGAGTGCCCTGTGATTGGGGACCAGCATTAACTTGGAATCTCATTGAGAGCATGCAAAAAGAGCAAAATATCTTAAGGGGAAATTGGTGGAATCAGGCGGTTAGGGACAGGGGCTTAAACCCATGGACGCAGGACCACTACCCCTGGTGCTGAGCCAGAGAGAGTGCAGCGAAGAAGCCAGATCTTGGTCCCGGAGCTGCTGGCTCACGTGAGAGCGTCTGGGTGGTGGTGCCCATGAGAGAGACTGGTGTGGATGCCAGCTGGTGCTCTCTAGAATCACAACCTTCTGCACTCTGCAGAACATATGTGACATCATTAGTTTTTTTTTTTTAATTGTCACTTAGCCAACATATAGTGCATCATTACTTTTTGATGCAGTGTTCAATGATTCGTTAGTCTTGTATAACACCCAGTGCTCATTGCATCACCTGCCCTCCTTGATACCGATCACCTGGCTACCCCATCCCTTTCCTTCTGTAACCCTTGTTCATTTCCTGGAGTCCAGAGTCTCTCATGGTTTGTCTCCCTCTCTGATTTCTTCCCATTCAGTTTTGCTTCCCTTCCCCTATGCCTTTATTTCCTTGTTGATCTTATGCTTAGGTGATCTGTCCATTGCTGTGAGTAGGGTGTTAAACTCCCCTACTATTTTTCTACTATTATCAATGTATTTCTTTAATTTTGTTATAAAACGGTTTATATGCTTTGTTGCTTCCAAGTTTGCGGCATAAATACTTACAAGTATTATATCTTTGTGTTGGGTAGACCCTTTTATTAGGATATAGATTCCTTCATCTCTTGTGACAGTCTTCAGGTAAAAATCTATTTATTTGATACAAGGCTACTTGTATAAAGGCTACTCCAGCTTTCTTTTGCTGTCCATTGGCAAGATAATTGTTCTCCATTCTCTCATATTCAATCTGGAAATGACTTTTTGTCTAAAATGAGTCTCCTGTAAGAAGCAAGTGAAGGGTCTAGTCCACTAAGGTCAGGAGCATGACAGGAATGTCCACTCTCATCACTGTTCTTCAACATAGTACTGGAAGTCCTAGCCTCAGCTGTCATAAAACAAAAGAAATAAAAGGCATTACAATGGGAAAAGGAGTCAAAATTTCACTTTTTGCAGATGACAAGATACTCTATGTAGAAAACCAAAAAGACTCCAAAAAAAAAAAAAAAATCCTTGAATTGGGACAGCAATTCAGCAAATTGGCAGTATATAAACCCAATGCACAAAATTCAGTTACATTTCTATACACTAAAAATGAAACAAAAGAAAGATAAATCAAGGAATCAATCCCATTTACAATTCTACCCTCCACCCCCCCCAAAAAAAACAACTAAAAATAAAGCTAACCAAAGAGTTAAAGGATCTATACTCTAGAAACTACAGAACACTTAAGAAATTGAGGAAGACAAAAAGAAATGGAAAAACTTCCATGCTCATGGATTGGAGGAAGAAATATTCTTAAAATGATTATGTTACCCAAAGCAATCTACATATTTAATGTAGTCCCTATCAAAATAATATTGACAGAAGAATGGATAAGGAAGATGTGGTCCATATATTCAATGGGGTATTATGCCTCCATCAGATGAATACCCAACATTTGTATCAACTTGGACAGGACTGGAGGAGATTATGCTGACTGAAATAAGTCAAACAGAGAAAGTCAATTATCATACAGTTTCTCTAAATTGTGGAACACAAAGAATAACATGCTGGACATTAGGAGTAGGGAAGGAAAAGTGAATTTGGGCAAATCGGAGGAGTATATGAACCATGAGACACAGTGGACTCTGAGAAACAATATGAGGGTTTTGGAGGGAAGAAGGATGGGGTGATAGGTGAGCCTGGTGTTGAGTATTAAGGAGGGCATGTACTGCATGGAACATTGGGTGTTGTACATAAACAATGAATCTTGGAACACTGCATCAAAAACTAATGATGTATTTTATGGTGACTAACATAACACAATTCAAAAAAGACTTTATGGGGGTGCCTGGGTGGCTCAGTGGGTTAAAGCCTCTGCCTTAAGCTCAGGTCATGATCCCAGGGTCCTGGGATCAAGCCCCACATCAGGCTTTCTGTTTGGTGGGGAACCTGATTCCTCCTCTCTCTCTGCCTGCCTCTCTGCCTACTTGTTATCTCTGTCTGTCAAATAAATAAATAAAATCTTTAAAAAAATATTTTATGGGTGAGGGGTAAGATGGTGGAGAGTAGGAGGAGACAATGTTTCAACTGGTGCCCTAAAGTGAGCTGAATATCTTTCTGAACACCGAATACCAATTAAATCAGCCTGAGACG